TGGATGATGGGTGAATGGATGATGAATAGGTGAGTGGACATATAGATGGAGAAACAGATAGTCAGATGGGTGACTGGTGGTTTCCCCGACTTCCCACGTCTGCACAGACCTCCTGTCCCCTTCCAGGGGAGTCCTTTGTTGGGGTCGTCCAGTTGTGCCGCCCCTCAGCCACCCTGGAGGCATCGACTCTTTCTGTACCCGGGTCAGGAGGGAGAAATACCTGGGCCTGTGTTTCCCACCAGTTACCCAGGGGAAGCGGGTGACTGCCCTAATTTCTCACAATTTGGGGTGAAAACCCCCTAGCAGGGCACCCGAATGCAGGCAAGAGCCGCTGCTGTACCCCGTTTGCAGCAGGAAAGGCTGATTTCCAGGTCACCCCCTCCGCTCTCGGCCCTGCGGGGAACCTGCGGGCACAGCTGCTCAAGGGCGGCCCGGGCTGCACAGCGGGGCCTCGCACCCACCCATCCGTTCTCCCATGGGCACAGGGCAGCGAGGTTTGTCTGAAGCCAGCAGCAGGCGGGCACGTGGCCGTCTTTCTGAGGTTGTATTTTCTCTGGACTCGTGGTCCAGCAAGCTCAGCACAGGCGGGACAGAGATGGCCAGGGACGGGGATGGGTGGGCAGAGGGGACCGGTTCTGAAGCCGCCAGCCTCGTGCTCCGCGCTACTCACCCCGACAGCATCTCGAAGACGAGGATGCCCAGCGCCCACCAGTCAACGGCTCTGCCGTGGCCCTTGCTCTGGATGACTTCTGGGGCCAGGTACTCGGGCGTCCCACACAGCGTCCATGTCCTGCAGCAGAGGCGACAGGAGTCCACAAAGGTCAGCCGTGACGGCACTCAGTCGAGCCCAGCAAAGCCCGCGGGCCCCTGTGAGCACAGAGCGGGCGTGAGGGGGAAAGGCCAGGCGCGGTGGGTGGTGCACGCCTCGAATGCCAGCACGCTGGGACGCTGAGGCAGGAGGATTTCAAGTTGGAGCCCAGACTGGGTAATAAGTGAGACCTTGTATGCAAAGTAAAGATAAAAATGGGTTGTGGATATAGCTCAGTATGAAAGGCCTGGGTTCTATCTCCAGCACTACCTTCAAAGACAGGGAGAAAACAGACAGAAGACAGACAGAAAGACAGAGGATGGGTAGATGGCTGGATAGATAAGTGCATGGATGAATGGATGGATGGGTATAGGTAAATGAATATAGATAGATCGATGGTAGATGGATAGATAAGATGGAAAGAAAGAAAGAAAGAAAGAAAGAAAGAAAGAAAGAAAGAAAGAAAGAGAAAGAAAGAAAAAAGATAGGCAGATATGTACACACACAGATGAAAGACAGGTAAGTGGATGGATGGATGGATAGATGGGTCGGTGGGTGGACGGACGGGTGGGTGGATGGTTGTGTGCATAGATGTATACAGACAGACGGATGGATGGATGGGTAGACAGATAGATAAAGTGGATGGATGAATGAATGACTATAAAGATAGGTGATGGATGGGTGGATGGGTGGGTGGATGGATGGGTGGGTGGATGGATGGATGGATG